TGAGCAAATATCGAAAAAAATGCAATACTCAACTTCTGAGTCATATTAGATACTAATGCACGGCTTTATACAAGCATGTCTAGATTTAAATAAAAGTTTATTTCGATGAAATTGTAATAATCTGCACTATACAGAAAAATATAAGAATTATGACTAATACAATGAAAAATTTATTGAATTTATTGAATAAATATTTCTTTCAATATTGCCTTATAAATCATTTATTTGAAACTGTAATAATATTGATTTGACGAGAAAAATATTTGATATAAATAGAAGAAAATCCTTTTCAAAAACAGATCAATATATTTACTTATTTGTTTCAAATAAATGATTTATAAAGCAGTATTGAAATAAATATTTATTAATTTAATATTTTTTTTCAATGTGGTTATTCTATTAGAATTTATAAATTATTAATTAAAATAATGTTTTTTTTCCGTGAAAATTGTTTAGATGTTTTAAATGGTGCTATATAATTCATCGAACACAATTTTTTTGCAGCAGTTGCGATATTTCGCTTTAAAAGATAACGTGGTTTTATTGAAATACATTTATTTTCACGCGTCACGGAAAACGTTTCAGGAATCCTATATTTTGCTAGGTTTCCGTTATGTATTCCATGAGAGAGAGAGGAAGAAAGAGATTCTGTTATACACATCCGTTTGCGTTTATTTCGGTGCTGATCAAGAAACATCGCTTTTAAAACGTGGGAAGGTGACGGATAAATCTCGCGTTATCACTAGGAATATATCGCGATAATAAAGTCGCAAAAAATAAATAAACCAATCGTCTTTGATCTCATTCTGTATAGATTCTTCGAAATGATTTTTCATTAACTTCAGTCAAATTCTTTGAAGATATTTTTTTCAAGATTTTTTTTTCCGTTTCTTTGAACAAAATTGGGTTATCAAAAAAATCTAGATCGTTTGAAAAATTACATTGATTATCTGCTCCGCATCTCGGGCGTTCCGGATTATAAAAAAAAGGAAGACAAAAATGTTAAATCATCCTCTTGAAAAGGCTTCGGGAAGAAGAAGAATTTGCTTTGATCGATATGTCGACCTATTCATGATGATACGGCGGATTTTGCGGGAAATAATCTCGAATAATTCCGAGGAGAGAGACCCGATTATCAACTCAGGATCGATATCACAATTTTCTTCATCTACAAGCTCCAATCACATCCTAATGATAGCGATGAACGACGCGAGGATAAAAAGCACGCGTTAAAGAATAAACGCGCTCGCGCGCGAGTAAACAGGTGACCCAATTTATAAACCGCTCGATTTTTTCTACCCTTGATATATATACAACTCCGAGCGTTCGTTTACATTCGACCGATAACGATATTCGCGCGCAAAGAGAAGGGTGCCCGCACAACGGCTCGATTCACGGCACACACATCGATCGTCGTACACCGGAATCTCGTTCATCGCGACCGCACGCACACGCGATCGTCCGTGCCCATTGACGCGTGTATATATGCACGCGTGTGCGCACCCGACATACAAACACCGGCAAACCGTGACACGTATTCTGTCCCGCGCGACACTTTGAGATGGAATCAGGCCGATATCGCCCGAGCGAATTAAGTCTTCAATAAAAATAAGATATTTTCTTTTTAATTAGGTATAGCTCTAATTCTGTAAGGTCTAGCATTTCCGAATATTTACATCTTCTATCTTTATTCACTTCTGAATCGAAACTGTCCGAATTTTAATTGATAAATAATCAATCTTATTTTTAATATCAAATATTTCCAAATATATAAATATATCCTTATATTAATACTTAAAAAAATATTAATATGTACATAGTAAAATTAATCGAACATATATCTTATTGTGGTAATTATATTAATATTAATCAGAAAAACTCTTATAAAATTCTTCTAATACCATATTGTTCCACGATTACCATGATTTTCAGGGTAAATTCTAGGAGAAAATTCTCTCTCTGATATATATATATATATATATATATATATATATACGTACTTTACTTTTAACTTAGGAAAGTTTCAAATTTTGTTTAATCGTATAAAGAGATTATTTTTCTGAAAAATTGTTTTCTTTATAAAAAAAAATAGCTATAAAACGATTACACGTTTCATTGTCAACTAGATAAGATCTGATCAGGATAGACATCAGTGACTAGTAGGAAATCATTCAAGAACAAAGTAAACAATGTCTACATTAATTGAAGCCAGCTCGATATACATATATGTGCGTTTAAAAGCGTCTCATCGATCGTATTAATCTAATATTATTTTTGCATCGTGTTGCAATTATCCGCGATACTAAGTTTTATTCGAAATTATTAACGTTAGCGAGAAATCAGAAAGAAAAATGAAAATTCCATTCCCTGTGTAGAAATCGCAATATCGATCACTTATCAGATTATCGGCAGATATATACATATGCTCTGGCATATATTGGACGAAGGGTATATATTTTTTTTGTATCAGTCGCGTTAGATAAACGATAAGTGGTGTTTCGGTCTCTTGGTGATACACATCTTTTTTGTATGTACAGAATGTGTTTAACTTTTTTTTCTCTTGATCTATCTTTAAAAAAAAATTAATAAAAATATTAAATTTTCATTATTTTTTTAGATGAGGAAACTTAAAATTTATTACTGCTGCCATATTAATTTCGAGATAATATTTTAAAAATAATTTTAAGATAGCAAGATATAATATCGAACGAGAAACTAATTTCTCGTGTGAAGATAAATCGAAAATATAGAATAAAATTTTTTCTGAAAGGAAGTATTTATGCTTTTTTAAGCTTGAATTAAGCTGCAACGATCTTGCATCGAATTTATTTCTCAACGATGGTGATTAAAATATGTATAAAAAATTCAATATTCTTTTTGTTAAAGAAATAAAGTTTATCTGGATACTTTTCACATATAACATTTTCAGGGACTTCAATTATTTTAAATTGTTTTACTAAATGGCATATTATATTGTATTATATTTTTATACTAATAATAGCTATAGTTGTCGAGAAGTATAGTTCTCGATATATCAGATAATTGAAGCAAATATAGTGTAAATATGATTATTTACTCCAAAGTCAATTTTCTCGAAGACAAAGCTTGATTGAAAACATTTTATTCTACATTTTTTAAATATATTATCTTTGTACGAGGAAATTATCTTCTGTTACTTGTATTACATTTTCTCATCATTTCTTATCTTGTATTTCTGAATATTCTAAGATACTAACATTTTGAGTACAAATGCTTGCTCGATGATTTTTCGCGGAAATGGTCTACTTTAGTTATCTATATATAGATTCTATATTATAGAATATCCGGTGTTGAAACAGTGATTAACTGAAGACACATCTATTGAATATCGCATTTTCTGCAATGTGCACTATATCGAGAAACCTTGTATCCTTTGCTTTCCGATAAGAGCGTGTAATTATTTACGTATTCTCTGGTAAGGCGAATAATGAATCTTTACAAGTTACAGATTAACATTTACGTAGACATTAAATTTCTATATCGTGTAAGACTTTGTAAAATGTGTCTCGCGCTTATTTTAGACTATACGTGTTGTTGAAACTCGGATGGGAGTGTTCATGTAATTATCAATTAACTGCATGGAAATTATCAAATATTATTCTGCCGTATCGCATTACTAATAAATCAGGCGAGAAATCGATGAAGAATAACGTAATTTATAACGAATAGGTTGTACAGGAACAACACCGCCCAATAAAATCGATTTAGTTAAATAATTATTAACACAGGTTTTTATGTGACAAACGTATGACATATGATACGTGACATCTGATTATGATATATGAGAAAGTGCTTCAAAAGAATGATTTATTTGAGAGCAGATATTTTGATATGCCAGCTTCGCACATTTATTTTTAACGAAGCGATTATTAATGCAATTATTCGCACAAAAAGAAAATTTGGATAAAATTTCATTATATCTTATAAGAAATCTGTAAAAATAAAATTTTATAACAGAAAACAAGTATACACATAAATATATACATATTTAGAAAATAAATTAATATCTTGACACATTATTTTCATTTTCTTAGATAAACGTTAATTTTTTAATTTACATCTGTTTATTTAAATTTCATACCGCGTAATAATTTAAGAAAATTGTACGATTGCGTCAAGTTCGCAATATTATATTTATGTCTTCTGTCTGTTGCAGAAGAACACACAATGCATATGTATGATTGTTATTCCGGATATGTATATAACCGCGAATGATTTGTCAGTCACGAGAATATAAGCAAACGTCTTTCGAAAAAAATAATACGGACGAATTTTGGAATTTCAAACAGTTATGTTTGGAACGAAACTGGAAACTTATATATTATCGGAACAAGGGCGCGAATTATCACGCCCACATTGCGATCGAAGAAGATTGAATACCTGCTATCTTATCGATTCCAGAAATTTTAGCTAATTTCAGTTGCAGCTAATGCGTATGGCAGAATATTACAGTGTGGGTTGAGCCGTACAGTTAATTAACTAATTGTGAGATAGATAAAAATCTCCCATATATGAATAACTAGCTATTATTCTCCAATGACATATATAAAAAGAGTATTAAAGTATTAATATAAGGATATATTTATATACATTTGGAAATATTCATGTGTGATATTAAAAAATAAGATTTTTATTATTTATTAATTAAAATTCGATCAATTTAGATTCAGAAATCAAATATAAGAGAGACAGATTTAAATATTTCAAAATATCTAAAAACGCTCAAACACTTTTAATTCTGAAAATATATCTTTGCCAAAATTGTATAAATTACAAAATATAAGAAAATAAGCAACCGCGATAAACGCGAAAAATAAAAAAAATTTAAGTGTCTTTATCTCAATTGAATAATTGAAAAAAAATAACTAAATTTTCATATGAAACCTTCATTAAAATAATTATATATAAAGAATATAAAAATTAAATTCTCGCATCGGACACATCATCGTTAAGACTCAATCAGTGTTTACCTGTAGAGTTCCCTTTGCGCACTTAATATTTCATACGTCAAAAATATCTTACCTTTTCGCACCGTGTATTTGCGCAGATGTGCCAGCATGTCCGAGGGCGACGCGCAGGAAGCAGCCAGCGAGGAGATCGAGAAACAGGGGTCCCTCTACGTGTTCCCGGGTGCGGGTCGCCCCAGCTGTACGACGTCGTCGTCATCGTCGACATCGACGGCGTCCCTTCAGCCGCTGTCGTCGTTCCTCCACGATGGCGGCCACTCGACCACGATCAGCACAACGATGACGACCAGCAACACGACGACGATGACGACCAGCACCACGACGACGATGACGTCCACGTCGACGAAGATCAGCAACGGCGACGAGGACGAGGACGCCGTAGAAGAAGTCACCTCGCCGGCCAGGAAGAGACCCTTACCGAAGACTCACGCGAGATCGGCGAGCCATGGAGGTGTCCTGGCGGATTGCACGACCGGACGGCAGATCTACGGGTCCTTCCTGGGTGCCCTGACGACGGTGGGAAGCGCCACGTCCGCGGGTCGACCGTCAGCGTTGAAGAAGCCGGGTCACCAGAGAGCCTTCAGCCAGGGTCAGGTGGCGGACGTGACGCAAGGCCAGTCGGCCGTAACGGGACACCATCGCGTCGGTTCCAGAACGGACTTTATCTTGCCTCCGGGCCACAGGGAAGAGGGCAGGCCGCCTACCGCCGGCAGGATGCCTTCTTTTCGTGGCCATTCTCGTCAGGCGTCCAGGTATGAAAGGGGATATACGATTTATTGTTCCGAATGATCGGAATCGATCATGAACAGAATTGAATAACTGTACATTAACAGCAGATAATGTCTAAAAGAAGCTGTTAACACATTATATTAATACGCGAAGTTTAATCAAATCTATATTTGTCCGAAAATGTTTTCTAAACCTTTATAATTTGGATAGAATTTTTTCTATAATTTTATGCATTGTGTAATGCAGAAAAATATATTAAGAATTTCTGATTCATCATTTTCCGTCGTATGATTGTAGAGAGATAATATAAATCTTATATGTTTAATGGGGTTCTTTATATTAAAATTATTGATAATTTTATATCGATGATATATATCGAGATCACTTATCATGAAATTCCAAATGTTTCGTGCATAAATTGTGAATAAGATATTTTTTTCTCTATTGATTTTTCATGTGCATAACAAAGTATTAAAAGCTACGCCGCGATGTTCGCAGATCGGAGTCTATTTATACGATAAGACGTAGCGTTGCGCCCCCCTGGTGGAGAAGACTATGGGCTCATTGTTTCGGTCCAATGCCGGAAGAGCCCCGCCTAAGGACAATAGTACCGAATCATTTAATCTCCCCGAAAACCCCGAAGAGACAGCATCCTAATGGAGATAGGGCGGACAACAGGTAAGGGCGACAATGACAATGTATCCGACAGAGTCGATTCGAACGAGATCATCATCTTGCACATTTGACATATAACAATGTCGCGTTTCAGGGTACGCACAACAAAGTACACGGCGTTGAGCTTCCTACCTCGTAACTTGCTGGAGCAGTTTCATCGCGTGGCCAATCTGTACTTCATCTTCATCGTCCTGCTGAATTGGGTGCCGGCTATAAATGCCTTCGGCAAGGAAGTCGCTATGATCCCGGTCATGTTCGTTCTGGGTGTTACGGCGCTTAAGGACTTCTTCGAAGATCGCCGGCGTCTCGCCAGTGACCGGCGTGTGAACAATTCCACCTGCCGCGTCTACGTTAGGTGAGTCGACGAACAAAGTGCGACGTTATATCCGTAATAGTGTAGCGTAGAGATCGTTCGAATACAATCAGCTTCTCTCTTTCCTTCTTCGTTCTTCCGTCCCCTTCCTCCCTTTTTCGACCTGCGCAAAAACACAGTGCACGGAGATAATGCAAGTTTTACGACTATCATAAAAAGAGTTAATACAATGTTACGCGGTTCTCTCTCTCTCTCTCTCACACACTTTCTGCGAATTATACGTGAGAGCTGGATGAGAGAGACATTAGCGATCGAAGGCGATAAAACACGTGGAAAAATGCCTCCGTTATTGCAGGAAAGTTTGATGATGGGATTAGGATATTAATGAAATGTAACCATTATAATTCTAATTACAGGGAATCTTTTTTTTTAATATAACATATAACTCGATATATATATGTATATATATCTCGGACTTTGAATAATTTTTTAATGCATATTATTCTATATGCGGAGAGAATTTTCTCTTAGAATTTACCCTGAAAATTATGATAATAAAAAATATTAATAACGTATAGTAAAATTAATTGAATATATTTTATATCTTATTATGGTATTTCCAAGAGAACGTTCTCTTTGTATAGTAATATAAATATGCTACTATAAACATAGTGATATTTGTGAAAATTCTTCGAAGAAAAAACGAATAATTCGAAGTACCTTAATAATTCTCTACTTGACGAATCTATGAAAGAAACACGAAAGAATGATCGAGTTCCGCGAGTTTTAATTTTATTTCTAATAACGAATCATCACTCTTCACGCTGCGCTATATTTTATGCACGACAGGTTTTTCCTCTCTCTCTTCCTTCTCGCGCCTATGAATGATTGAATAGAAATGTTCAATTTTTCATCGGCCTCGCTCGTTTATCCTTGCTTTTAGTTTACCGCGCGACTCGCCGCTTCAGTTAGAATCCTTGCGGCAACGGATTCCGATAGATCGATTCCAATAAGACCGACAATTCTAGATATGTAGGTCACGTACGAAGCGTGGACGAACGGTCTGCGTGCACGAGCGCGAACATGGAGAGGAAAGTGTCCGGCGTTTTACCGTTCTTTTTCCGCAAGAATACGTCTCGCGACGTTATTCTAGATCATCATCGTTCTTGACTATATGTCCTTGATTGTTCTGGCTATCGCTAGAGGATTGTTTACGCTCGTGAGGCCAGTTTTAATTGACGGCATCGTCAACATCCTACAGCTGCCTCTTAACGATGCGATCTCGATGTGTTTATTCTCGCCGCTCATCGTACGCCATCCAAAATGGTCAGCGAACGATCGGAGAGCGTTGCACGATACCACTTGGACACACATGCGCATGTGATCAAACCGTAGATAGATACAATTCAACGCGTGCGCCGATATAAACGCGTATGTACATACGCCACGTGGTTTTGATTGCAGCGCAACAAGGGGGAGATGGATTGAACGAGGGTTGAATGAACTCCGAAAAAGTTCTCTTCGCTCGCAATCGTCTATGAGATAGCAAACGGTTCTACATTAATGTTGTAAAGCTCGTAATCGTCTAATTTCATTTAAAATTACGTTTTCTAGCTAAGGAAACAGGTCTACTAATGAATAATTATATGTATATATATTTATAGATCGTGTTGTTTTAATATGCAGTTACTTTAACTACTTAGAAAAAGGTACTTGTAAAATAGCACAAAAATTGCAAAAAATAGACTAATGAATAATTATATGCATTTCGAGCTCGTGTTGTTTTAATCTGCAGTCGCTTTAACTATTTAAAAAGATACTCGTATAAAATAACAGGAAAAAATGTGCGAAGAAATAACAAGTATTAATGAATAATTATATTTCGACATCATGCTATTTTAATCTGCAGTCACTTTAATTATTTAAAAAGATACTCATAAAATAGCAGGAAAAAAATTTCTCAAAGTACATAAAGATTGACGTTAAATAATAACGAATTGGATCCGTGAAAAAAATCGAGCCACTTTATAATATTTTTAAAATCCGAATCCACGTAAAAATGTACAGTTGGTTGATCCCGTGCGCCTCGTACAAATATAATCGAGTTTGCAATCTGTCTGTCTGATCGCTCGCTCATCGTTTCGATCGTGCGAACGTCCGCAGGTTTGATCGTCACGAGGACTCGTTCATAATGCAATATAATTGGAAAGTTGATCGATGACTCGGCAATTCCAATACAGCGTATAACAACTTCGGCAACGATTTCGCGGACGACCTTGCCCTTCGTCATGTCCCTTCGTCGTGTCCCCTGAACGTCGATTCTCCGTCAATTTTTAATATCGGATATATGTTTGCCGATCGTGACGAGAGATTCCATTCGGGATCGTTCTAGAAACTTTCGTGACAATCTTGATTTCGATTCGCGCTCTTATCATATTGACAATGAGATATCGTCGCGCTCGCGATAAAAATTTATTATTATATTATCATTACGACGATAAAATATCTATGCATATTTTCCCGCTGACATATAGAGAAATATTCTGTATTACGTAGGCATGCATATTTAACACGAGAGATGCTAATCGATCGCTCAAGTGTCGCGGAGTATATGAGTAACAAAATTATAATGTTAGCGATGTAAAGAGGAATCGCGAGAAATATTCGTCGAAGTATATAATCGTATCAGATGGGACAAATAATCGAGTGAACGAAACAGAAAAACAAGCGATATGATGCGAAACGATCGACGGAATCTTTCACGCGTCGCGACGCATCACCGGGTGGATGCATTCGCGTGCATTCTCTGTCTCGAAGGAAGAAACGATCGATTCGAAATTACATGTCGTTCATGAGTCGCTAATCGCTCGTGCCTATCGTTTTCTAAACGCAACATATCCGCATAATGGTGCGAACTATTCCGCTTTCTCTCTTTCTTCCTCTGGTCTCTCGTGGTCACAGGTCGATTGCAATCTGTCTCGTGCGCCCGAGACCTTGACATTCGCATTTATTACCATTACCCTCTGTTTTTTATCTCGTCTCGCGGCGCGTGCCTCGCAATCTGTCGATTCCGCTCGTTAAATTACCGCGACATATTTTTCATCGTCATTATGCGCTTCGTCCACGCCTACAATGTCAACATTTTCGCAGCCGTCAAGTCGAGAAAGAGAGAGAGAGAGAGAGAGGATAAGTCGAGTTCGCTTTAACGTTACATTGAAAATGACAGTGAATAATTTTATTCACATGACCATTCGATAAAAAAAAATCGATGGTGAAGAGAGTTTGTTTATTTCAGTTTACGTACATGCGATCCGATTTATTATTGTGACTCGTTGAAATGGAATTTAGGGTGCGAATCGGAGAGTTGCAAGCTGAATATAGGCTGGAAAAATTTTATCGGAATTAATATCGGAGGCGTCACGTGTCGGCTAATCATTGCTTGCCTCGTCTATTTGACACCGATTGTGCAATAATATTGGCCTTCGTCGCCCTTCGTCGAATCCGTTTCGTCATCTCTAAGCGCGATCGACTGCTACTATAAGAGTCCCGCTTCAAAAGTTCGCTTCAGAAGCCTCTTTCTTTTTCTCCGAGAAAAAATCATCCGCGCGAAACCCATATATATCATTTTTCGCAATGCAAACAACTTTCAAATATCGTTCGCCGATATGTCCTTCTATGCTTGCGCAATATTTCTGTTTACATCATACAACGTAGTGAATTTTGGCAGAATTTTTAGGTACCCGCACAAGTCCACTTCTGTGAAAATTGAGAAGTCTCTCCTCTCTGGTCTACTTTCGGAGTTTTTGGAGTGCTGTTAAGCTGACGAGTGATGACGTCATCGCTTATATCATGAGAGAGGAGGACGATGTAAACGTATATGTATAATGTATGTATGTGTTTATGTTGTGTATGTTTTACTCTTCGCTTCTACGAAATGCGCTGGAAGCCCTGAAAATATCGGTGAGCGACTTGCAAATCCATACATATAAAGGTCGCTTCTTTATTATGTTCCGTAAGAAGTTCTCGGCATAAAAAGAGGTAATTATAGAAATACTCGAGTAATGTGTTCAGCTACAAATGCTAATCTCCATCGTAGGACAATATTGTATATATAAGTTTCTCACGATATCTTGCATCAGGGTTTGAATAGAATAATTGAATCTTTCATGCGTTCAAAAAAAATGTAGAAACACTATTCAGGCAACACTTTGATTTTTATCTATAGTATATATTATTCGTCTACCTGCTAAGATTTACAGTTATCAAATACTAAACGAATTTTTTTTCTAAATTTATTTTTAAACATGCTTTGATAATATTTTAATTTACTGATTTTTTTAAATTGTCTCCGAATGAAGAATATTAGATCCAATGAATCAACACGCCAACGTAATAAATGTAACACGCTTCATAAATGTCTCAATTCTTGGCGATATGTTCTAGAATAAACTATTTATGAAGGTCAATTTTCGAAAACGTCAGGATGATGCCTGATGTCAAGAGATACTAAGTCGAAGTCGAAATGTCGATAAATCTTTTTACTTAGAAATCTCACGAAAGTTTCGCGAATTATGATAAGATTGAAATATAATGCGCGTTATAGTAAGCTATCCTTGACTCGTTATCTTTTGCTGTGCGGTTGAAAAATTATCCTAGAATTATTATGCGGTTTAAAGCGATAGCAAATACCTACATATAGTGCCTTTGATGTTCTTCGGTATAGTCTAAGGAAAAGAAACCGTTCATTGGTTCAATAGTAAACTGCAAATAGTTACGACGAATTAATCGTTCCGCTTTAATACAGCGTGCTTCGAGGACACATGCTTATGTCATTTATGTAATCCACCACATACCATGAGTGTGCATAAGAACCTACTATTTTTTATTGGTTAGGCGGCTATTGTTTTTGCAACATTATGTTATATCGTTTGCGGAAAAATGATCTTGTGGGCGAGCTATTAGATTTTTACTTTCTGTTTCCAGTTTCATCTGTATCAAACCATATATAATTTTCTTTTAGAGTTTACTTTAAAAATCATGATAATCGTGGGACAATATATGGTGTTGGAAGAATTTTATAAGAGTTTCTCTCATTAATATTTTTGCCATGATAAAAACAATTAATATCTACACTGAAAAACAATTTTATTGAATTTGAATAAATATTTATTTCAATTGTGTTTAATAAATCATTTATTTTAAACTAATAATATTGATTTGATGCGAAAAATTTATTTGATATAAGAAAAGCTTTTTCAAGGAAACAGATAAATATTTATTTGTTTCAAATAAATTATTTATTAGACAGCTTGAAATAAATATTTATATTAATTTAATAATTTTTTTCAGTGGTACCATAATAAGATATATTAAATATGTTCAATTAATTTTATACTATGTATGTGTGTGTACATAGTAAATTTTATTAAGAATTACTACTAACAATAAGTATTTTATAAGTTTTTCTCTGATTAATATTTACCACAATAAAAAATATTAATATGTACATATTAATCAGAAAAACACTTACAAAATGCTTCCAATATACCAATAATTGTCCCACGATTACCATAATTTTCAGGGTAAATTCTAAGAGAGAATTCTTTCCGTGTAGATCATTACAATGTCATCTATATATAATTGTTTAATTAGTTAGCGTACGTGTCGCGAATCCCTCACGGGGCAGCGACATCCACGACAGGAAAAAAAAAAAAAATAACACGCATCTAATCGCCATGATATACTAATGACTGCGATACGGGATGCATAATAATGTATGCATTTACGGCGATTCACGTGTCGCGCCGAGTTTAGCGCAAAAGTGAGCGATACAAAAGCGAGAATGACGCGTCTCTTACTTTGTATTATCCTCCGAGAAGCGAACAAAAGAATTGGTATTTTGCGGCATATTTAGTGCCCGCGAGACGACCTTGCGACAGTATTCCCTCTAGATCCGAAACGGACGCGAATAGACAGCTGTTAGCCCTGCTCGTCTTCGAGTCTCCCGTTCGCGTTCAAATGTCAAACGGCAAAGAGGCTCTGTTTATCCATCCGTTCGAAGAGGCTTCGCCCACGCCTTCGTTCGCCTCCGATGTCTCGTCGTCTCAATACCGTTCCGATCAAACGCGGATGTGACGTTCAAGGTCGCGCAACCTCGAGGGATCTCGCGCGCTTGCGGCAATTAGGAAAATATCGCCAATCGCCGATTTCATCACACGACATCAGCTCGGTGAAGCGAGATGAGATGAATCTATCTTCTGAACACTTGAATTAGCTACTCAAGGTCGTGCCTTAGGCATGCCTGATTCGCCGCCGCTTACTCAGAAGAAGTAATAGAGAATCACGTAATAGAGAATCCGAGTTCTCACGAGCGAGTTTTCCTGCAACGCATTAATTTTTTATTATTTTTAGACGGAGAATTGTTAAATTTGTTACGTGAGGTATTTTTGGCGCGAAATTGTGTAATGTTAAAGCTAAAAAAAATATGGTCGAAGAAGCAACATCTCGTCGATTCATTAATTTTTCCTCGCGCGCTATTTATGATGAAGCGCGAGGTCAATTTTCTATTCCAGTGAGTATACGTGGACTTTAATTACTTATTAACGAATACTGTGCTCGTTTTGATTCTTGACAAGTATTGTATTTACGTACATGTAATGTCCAGTTTCGCGATAGTGACGACAGCAAAGTAGCTTTACGAGTTCTTCTTTTATGCAACGCGAGGATTTGTCGATTGTCTTACGTCAAACCGTGGAAGTAAGATTCTACAACTCTATTTACCTAGATTTTTTTCTTTCGTACGCGAGAGAGAGAGAGAAAAGTATAAATAATTGATTTAATCCTTTTCCGATTCTAACAATAGATTTTAATAATAGAATACTGACGCGCGTGCACCCGCATCGGAGTTGCTTCATTAATTTAACTGAAAACTATAGAGTATCGCGTAATATTCACACGTAATAGCTTGAGTTGATTAAGTTAAAACAGCTCGCAATTAAATCTTTACTTCAAAGTTATGCCGTAAAATGCAATTTACATAATTGCGGACCGTGCGATGAAATTAAAAAGCGTGATGAAGTAATCCATTTATCGTGCAAACTCTCTAATTATTTCGCGCGATTACGAAAAAAATGTAATTGCCTTTTTCGACGTTGCCGTTTAAGTAACTCGCTCAAAAGCAGTGCCTCGGTTTCATGAGAGATTTCTCCCGTGATTTCGTTACAGCGAAGGCGACAGATACGTGAAGGTGGCGTGGAAGGATGTCAAGGTGGGTGACCTGGTTCACCTCTCAAACAACGAACTGGTACCGGCCGATCTTTTGCTTCTGAGGAGCAGCGATCCTCAGGGATTAGCTTATCTCGATACATGCAACCTCGACGGGGAGTCGAATCTGAAGCAACGTCAGGTCGTCAGAGGTTTCCTCGATCTGCAGGATACCTTTCAGCCTGTCAAGTTTCAGTCAGTAGTCGAGGTCGATCAGCCAAGTACTAGGATATATAGGTAATATATACAACAACGATCATTTGTCACGTTTGCGATGTATTAAAATAGACTTTTAGAATCTCCTTATTTTTATAAATTTCAAAAAAACTCGGATAAAAGAAGAGCAAATATTTCTTAACACGTCTGTCATTCATATATGTTTCTTTAACATTTTTTTATGATTTATTCCAAAAGCAGTTATTATAATGGTATTTATTGTTGCAATAACATTTGTAAACAAATTAACTAGATTATGAATCATCCCTAAATGCATCTATTAGGTTTCATGGAGCTGTAGTGCATCCGAACGGTGGCAGGGTGCCCGTGTCCACGGAAAATCTTTTGCTCAGGGAATGTGTTTTAAAGAACACTGACTTTGTCGAGGGTATAGTCATATACGCCGGTCACGAGACTAAAGCGTTGCTGAACAACGGTGGACCCAGGTACAAGGTAAAAAAATATTTTTAAAAATAATTTTTAATAATAAAACAAATGAATTGACAACTAAAATAATTAAGAGGCTAAGTGTATTCAAGAATAATTACATTTTTTTTATTTTCTAAGCAGTAGAAATTTTTCTTGAATATTTTGAGCTATATAAAATAGTTTTTGGATATGACTAAGTAAGTGTCTAAAAAGATGTATAAGAGAGAGAGAGAGAGAACAACGTCAAAACTTTTAAAACTCTTCCTTAATTAAGGTCGCGAAAAGTTTGGCTTTGTTTCATCATAATTAAAATGCAGAAAGAGTTTAGTCAGCAAAAAGCATCGATCAAAATGTCAAAAGCGAAAGAAATACGAAAGAAAAGAAAAAGATTCGTATATATGTGTATGTAAACGTGAGTTGAGAAAAAGAAACTTAAAAATAAATCTTGCTCTGCATATGATTTCGCAAATTGCCTATAAATAAGTAGGTAGATAGCACGAATAGATAACGCGAGAAGTAGCTCTAACGTGCGGATTGAAATAATAATGCGATACGAATTTCAGCGTTCCCGTCTGGAGAAGCAGATGAATAGGGACGTGAAATGGTGCGTGGTGATACTGTTGGTCCTGTGCGTGATCGGTGCGTTCGGCTGCCGATTCTGGTTGTCCGCGTACACGGGCTTGACGGTGGTACCGTTTCTGCCGGTGCTGCAAGAACCGGTCTACGAGAGCATCCTGACATTCCTGACCTTCGTCATAATATTTCAAGTGATGATACCGCTGAGCCTCTATGTGACGATCGAGATGGCCAAGGTGGGACAGGTGTATCACATCGGCCACGATCCGGCCCTCCACGACACGGAAACCGGCCGTAAGGCGGAGTGCCGCGCGCTGAATATCACGGAGGAACTAGGCCAAGTGAGTGCGGTAATTTATATTAAATGAATCTGCGCGCGCGAGAGAGAGTATTTTATACGATCAATATTATGGAAATTATACTTTCTCACGAGAGAAAAAAAATTGGTGTGTTAGAAAATTATTAATATATTATTATGCTTATTATTAACATTTCTCGTCTCTCATTTGCATTTCCACTTTGATTGGTATCTGTCATCCGTTACGTCATGTTATCGTCTTTCGTCATCTTCTCATTTCTTTGCATTTTGCTCTGACAAACGTATCCTATAGATATTTAAAATTAGTTACCATTAAATTACAGGTACAATACGTTTTTTCCGACAAGACTGGCACCCTCACGGAGAACAAAATGCTATTCAGGAGATGCGCGGTAGGCGGACAGGATTACTCGCACATGGGCGACAACGAGAATCTGCTTCCGTGTCTACGGCTTAAAGAGGACCTACTTATAAGTACATTTCGACATCGCTTACAGGAGTTTCTAATTGTCTTGGCCACGTGCAACACGGTTGTCGTAAATTCTCAACCGCATCACGATATCATGAACTCTAGTGGAGTAATCGAGGAACCTCAAAAGAATGGAACTGGTCTTAGAAGGTTGGCATATTTTAAATTAAGAAATGGTTCATTAAACGCGACCAATGTTTAATGGGCGAATCAAATCTATTATTATCATTTTTTATCACGTTTTTTCTGTGAATTTAATGCAATGATATTTTATAGAATAACAGACGCGGATACCAATTCATTTCCGACCGCAAATTCTCCGCCGGTACCGATATCTCCGAGCAACAGAAGTGTCCGCACTTTGTCTCCAGTGTCACCTGTAATCAGCACGACGAATACGTTCAACGATACGCCAAAATTTCCGTTTAAACTTTCCAGGTTGGTATAACGTTTGAGTATACATAAAATACGAAGATGTTTAACGGAGCAATTTGTTTCGCAGGCCAAAGTTGCTGAATGTAACGTCGATACCGAGCCTAGGCATCGGTTTATTGGGACGAAAACTTTCGCCGGACAATCAGAAGAGACGTAGTCCAGACGCGAAAAACAGCGACGAGTTGCTACAACATCAAGCGATCTACGAGGCAGAAAGTCCGGACGAGTTGGCATTAGTACACGCGGCGCGCGCTTACGATGTCAAGCTGGTGAAACGAACGCCTCGCAGTGCAATCGTTTCCTTTCCGGACAAATCGACACTCGCGTTCGAGATACTTCACGTAGGTGGTTGCGAGTGAATGAAAATAATGTGAAGTGTTCAGTTAACCGATTGTAATTCCTCGATCTCTTGTAGGTGCTGCCGTTCGATTCGAACAGGAAGTGCATGTCGGTGTTACTTAGGCATCCTCACACCGGAGAGATAGTGTTATACAGCAAGGGCGCTGACACGACGATGTTGTCAGCGTTGTTGCCGAGCGACGAGAACACCGTCGCCTCGGCGAGTATTCGACAGTACCTGCAGTCGTACGCGCGTCAAGGATTGCGTACCCTGGTGATGACGAGGAGAACATTGACGTCGCAGGAGTACGAGATGTGGCGGGAGAAGCACGAAGAGGCAGAACTGGCGACGGAGAATCGCGAGCGTCGCATACGCGATTCGTACGCGATGCTGGAGTCGCAGTTGATCTTGCTAGGAGTGACTGGCATCGAAGACAAGTTGCAAGTCGGCGTGCCTGAGACGATGGCCGCTCTGGTTGCCGCCGGGATCGTCGTATGGGTTTTGACAGGTTCGTGGAAAGGCTCGTATGCGGACGAGTGACACAACCGGTTTAACGTTAGCATACGCGCATTTTTTAATAAACAATCATCGTACAGAAATACACGATGCGTTTCACATCGAATCGCAAATGCATTAATCAGCCTTCCTTCTATGCATTACATTACATAAACGACCTTATATAAGATTATATAAGATTATAGTATTGTAAGATAAAAAAGAAATTATGTAGGCGAAATATGCATAGATGATAAAATCAACGTTTCTCTCGAAACCACGTTCTTGGGCATAATTAACGCGTGCTCATGTCAAAGCGATTACGCGACTTCGTGTCACACACACACACATGTGATCGCTTTTGTGGTTTTAGGGGACAAGCCTGAGACTGCGGTGAACGTAGCGTACTCGGCGCGACTCTTCTCGCCGGCTATGCAGTTGCTGCAACTACAAGCGAGATCGAAATCCGTCGCTGAGACGCTGATACGTGGCTATCTGGAGTCGGCGTGCAAAGAGAGCGCGAACAATGGCCATCCGCAGCAAGCAGGCATGATCGGAGGTATCGCGGATCCCGTCGGCATGTATCCCAATCGCGATGCCACCGAGAGGGACGCCCATAGAATCGGCAGCCCGTGGCCACGGCAACGCGCGCTTGTCGTGGACGGTAAGACGTTAACTGTGATCCTGGATCCGCGATCGGGCCTGACCGGTCCGTTCCTCGAACTCACGAAAACGTGCTCCAGCGTCTTAGCCTGCCGCGCCACGCCGTTGCAAAAGGTAAGAATAATGTTGACAGGATTGTCAATAGATAAGTTCTCTAATTGTAACTATAAATGTAATGTAGGAGTTAATCAAGTGTATAAGAAATAATAAAGCACGATTAATTTTACGTTGCAGGCATACATAGTTCGCATCGTTAAAAAGCAATTGGGAATGAGAACGTTAGCGATCGGTGACGGCGCAAATGACGTCAGCATGATACAGACCGCCGACGTGGGCGTCGGTATCTCGGGACAGGAAGGTACGCAGGCGGTGATGGCGGCGGATTTCGCGGTTTCACGATTTTCCATGCTCAGCCGGCTTCTCCTTGTGCACGGACACTGGTGTTACGACCGTCTCGCCAGAATGATTTTGTATTTCTTTTATAAGAATGCAACTTTTGTCTTCCTTGTATTCTGGTTTCAAGTGAGTATTTGCGAAGAACGAAGTAGAAAGTAATTATTGAAGAAAAATATATAAAAATAAATAAAAGAGAAATGGCTGTTTTTTGCGTCAAATAATTTTATCTGATTTACATGTATGTGTTTTTCAAATTTGTATAATAATGTGCATCTCTCTTTTTCTTTTTGCAGCTGTACTGTGGTTTCTCCGGTGCCGTGATGATAGATCAAATATATTTAATGCTATACAACTTGCTGTTCACTTCGCTGCCACCTCTAGTTTTGGGCATTTACGATCGAGTCGCCTCGTCTCGCGTGTTACTCTCAGCACCGGAATTGTATACAAGAGGACGTCTGGGACTAGTTTATCAGCCGCACTCGTTTTGGCTGACGATCGGCGACGCTCTTTACCAAAGTATCGTTATCTTCTTTATCACCAAAGAGGTGAGTGCGATATTAAATAGGAATAAAAAGTCAGAAATTCGGTTAATCACAATGATCATCATCATTTCGCTTCTTTCAGGTTTACTATGATTCGATTATTGATATATGGGAATTCGGGACGACTATTATGAGTGCGTGCATCGTCGTTATGTTGCTACATGCTGCCATAGAAATTAGATCTTGGGTAAACAAGAAGAAATGAAGATATGATTGTGACTTGATTATTTTGTTCCGGATGATAATGACGTTTTGTATATTTCAGACTATAATTCATATCGGTGCCATTTTGGGTTCCTTAGGCATATTCTTCGGATTTTGCCTATTCTACAATTTCGTCTGCATTAATTGCATGGGTTTACCCGGATCGTTCTGGGTAATGGAAAAAGCTATTACGCAATCTACGTACTGGTTCACTGTTTTACTTACGTCTGTCCTCGCGTTAATGCCTAGGTATGCTTACTTTGTAAATTAAGACTGCATTCGATATTCAAGATTCGATATTAATTCAAGATAAAGATTGTGAAAATAAATTTGTAGCTTTTCATATTTAAATTAATGTATTTACAATTCAAATTGTATTTAAATTGATTTTTATTCGATGTACTTTAAGCTCTCCGCGCGCGTTTATTCCATATAATTTAATTGTCTTATATCGGCATAATTAAACAATGACATTTCTTAATGATCGCAGGTTAGTCTATAAGGCGATACGGTCGACGATTGCACCAGACGCTATACAAGTAGTCTCGCAAATTGCCGCAAAAAGCGGTAGTCAAGTTCGTCGGCAGCGTATCAGTAGTCAAAGAGGTGAAGTCAACTTTATTGCTGGATGGTCGCGTTCCTCGCAACACGCTACCATCAGGTATATATGTCAGTTACTCCGTGCTATCTATAAGTATAATTACGCTAAACACGAGTATCGCATTGTTCGTTTTTCCAAATGTGTAATTCTTCATTCATTGCAGACCCGGCAGCTACAGAAGCAAAAGCAACGCTCTCACGACTATCGTTGCGTGACAGGCACAATCGGATTCAAGTGAAGCGTACCCATCTCATTAATATGGAAAGCCGATTAAGTTGCCGCGAAGGAAGAGGAGAAACGTTCTTCGACGCCGCGATTCTTTTCGAAAGCCGCGTGTTCTTTCATCGGTTAAGAGGGATTTTTCTGACCTCTGAAAGTCGTTCGCGATGACTGACAACGGTGATTAACTATCCCTGGTTCATGATTCCCCGCATATCATGGTCGTAGCTACATAATGATGATGTGGATACGTGAAAGGAAAGCTAGTTAATCGCGTTGTCGTGCAGTCGAGCATGAAGATTCGCGCTCTCGTCGCTATCTAACCGTGCAATATAGATTATTAAGAAGCGTCGAAACTTTGTTCGTTCGTGACGTGTTCGTTGCGCGTTCTCGTTATCGCGGTAACGCTAACATTTTCATTGCCATTCTCAAATTCGAGTTATCGTGACTGAATTTAAAAAAAAATCGAGTGGCCTTAAATCTCAGATTGTTCGTTGCATTTAATGGCTGTGACTTCTAGGGACCAAGACTGTGCGTTGTAATTGTATCAGGCAAGCCGGATTCGAGCGAAAGTCTGTACGCCGCGCTCTACTTGAAGTATTTTATTCGTATCTTTTTTTCTTTGACTTGAAACATTTCACTCGAACGTGTATCCGAGCGTATTTTATTTTCAAACGGAAGACCAACTGACGGAGACACACAGATGGAGATATATATCAGACGTTTTATTTATATACATACCTTTAAATAAGTGTACAAAGATGTTATAAAAAAACTGAGTGCTAAGTATATATGTATATACACAGTGTGTGTTTCGCGAGAGGCGCGGTTCACTCGCTGATAGATATTTTAACAAACCGATTTATTTTTTAAACAAGTTTTTAGCTAAGTTATCGTTAGATGTTACGCGTCACATCGTAAAGTGAAACAGTAGGAATCAGACGTAGACGCAAAGTATCGTGATTGCGTCGGGTTATATCCTATTTCCGGTATCGATTCGCACGTGCGCGATCGACGGAACGCCTCAAATAAATTATATAATATATAATATGATGTTATACACGTGCTTTGTTATATCTATTGTTGTGTTACTATCAATATCACAGAGAGAAAATATCGTGAAATATCGATTTAAAGCTTTTAATTTGGATAATGCATATTGAATGTTATATCGATAACACGTTACACGTGTTATCTCATAGTATTTTGATAATGGTCGGATTATCGTTGTATACGTTTACCAATGTAAGGAGAGTATGTTGCGGAATTAAAAGAAAAACGAGTCAATCTATTATTTGCGTTATGTTTCTGTCAGCCAATTTCGTCTTTTCATCCAATCAATAGACCTCATTTACGTATAACTAACATACAAAATATACCTAATGTAACTAGCACGCGCCACAAACCGAACCGAACGAGATTCTTTGCTTACTGTATGTTTTTTTGTTGTATGTACATATACATAGAGATATTTTTTCAATAAAAACAGATAGAAGCTATGAGAAGGTATATATATATATATATCGAGAGAAAGAAAAATAATATATATAAAATTCAAGATGAAAATTCTAACATTTACGAAATCAAGACAATTCTGAAAAATTACGAATATAATTATTATCGCGAAATTTACTTCCTTTGGATAATTTTTATTTTAGTCCGCGAAACTGCACCTAAGGAATAATGAAAAAAAAAACAAATTAAAGCTGCACTGTATCAGAATTCATTTATAATTAATTAGCGCCTATATAAAGTATAAATTCGCGCGCTTTGGATGTTCACATTTTTAATAAATCAACGAGTCTTTTATATATTTAGTTTCTCTCGACTCTCAGAAAGGCATTAATGACATCACTGCAACGTTATAAATACTGTTTACAAACACTTATTTCATAGGATCAGAATAGCAAAAACATGAGTTTTTTTTTTTAAAAAAACGATATTTTATGATCTGAATTGGATCTTGTTAATGAAGATATGAGATATAATATATATAGTCAAAAATTAATCATTCTGTTTTAAAAGTATCAATTTTTCAAGTAAGACAAAAAAACAAGATTTTTATAGAATCTCATTTCTTATCAAACTTTTTTTACATATTTAATTATTGTTTGCAACATCAAGGTGAACACTTCAATTATTTCCACGTAAGCGCTTAAAAAATCAATGAAAAAAAAATGCGTGAGCATTCCAAGCGTATTTATTCAAAATAGCTAAACACAGGCGGATTCGATTGAGCACCACTGACTCATGCGGAAATGCGAGGACGAAATAGAAGGGATGGATCAGAGAGGGCGAAGGTGGAGAGTCCAGGGAATGGCGTGCTGCGGCATGCTGCCGCTCTGCCGCTTCAGTACTGGCTGATCAGGCGGTATTCGTTCATGTGCTGACGCGAATGTCCTCTCGCAGTTATGTATCCGGCCTGTCACACGTGTGTCATTCGGTAAAATGACATTTGCCGCATATCCGCGAGCGCGAATTGATCTAAGAGGTAAGTGTGTAAGAGACGCGAAAAATCAACATCAAAAAATTCTATTCCGCTAACGTTACCTCTGTCTACCTCTCTTTGTTCCGTGAATGCAATTCGTTCCGTTTGTGCTGAAAACTATATGTATGTATACTACGACTTTCCTTAACGATCTTTCTCTTCCCTCAAGCTTCTAGTAAAATGTTTGACATTGTGTTTAACTTTTGTAATCACATGTATATTTTAATTGAACGTAAAAATATATACAACTGCGTGTTGATTCTAAGCGAATTTATACAGTGTTAATGCGAATAATAATGCATTTTATGGATTGCATCTGTCTACGATAGATAATTGCACGCGAGGTCCAAGGTCGAAAATTGCACGACAGCTGATCTGCAGCAGTGTCACTCGATATAACGCATATATGCCCTAAATTCTTCCATCTAATATTTCATTTCGCGGAAGCGACGTTAATAAGCCACGTTATTAAAATGATTCAAAGAGTAATTGTAATGCGTTTAATTCGACGTTTAATAGCGTGCGATAAGATATACCTCCTCGTTGCCTCGCAAAATACGAATCAATATGTATGCAATTAACTCGAAAACAATTTTACTCTATCGCGACTATGTGCATGTGTTACATATTACACTGCAATTTTAGTTTTCTTTATATTATCATTTGTACTTTCGACAACACACGTGATCGCGTTTTTATAAACTGAAAAAATTGTTGTGTGAGTAAACCTTTCAACTAGAATAATATTTTATTAATTGAACATATAAAAATATTTAAATTAATATATTAAATCTAATAAAACGTGCACTGTGTGTGTTAAATTCATTGTGTTAAATTTCAACTAATTTGAGTTATTTTTAACCATCCTTATAGGTCGCCAATGCTCCTACTCAATATGTTGTTAATTTAATTAAAACAATGGAGTTAAATAATTTAATTAAAAAAATGTGTTAAATTTGACTAAAATTTAGTTTATTATTTACTAATGTATAAGTTAATGTAACCCTTTGACTTAATAGAAAAGGATTTTAACTATATATACTTTTTGTTAAAATAATAAATTTGAAACATATGGTAGTTAAACAAATTTAACTCAAGAAATTGGTTTAAATTCAATCCTTTCATATTTAACAGTGTGTATTTGACTTCATATTAATATATATATATGTTCAATTAACAAAATAGTAATTTAGTTGAAAAGTTTAGTCAACTCTCTAAATTTCTTGGAATTAAAACTGAACAATCTCATTCCAAAAGAGTGGAATTTTACTCCAAGAGAGTGGAATCTTACTCTTTTGGAGTAAAATTCCATTCTTTTGGAATGAATAAATTGTTCGGTTTTTACTCTAAGAAATTTAGAGAGAAGTTAATCATTTTTTTTTTAGTGTAACGAGTGAAGTTTTGTGTCGCTAATAGAATCGCGAATTTATAATTGAAATTTAATCTAGAAAACTTCCTGCACAAATATATATATCCTTCTTGCATTAGTCGTATATATTAATTAAAATGACCTATATAGATACTATATATATATATATATATATATATATATATATATATATATATAAATTGTATGAATTTTAAAAATATTAGTGGTGATCCCTAGTTAATGTATTGCTTTAAAATCTATATAAGAATAATATTTAACGTTAAGTGACGCGATGATGACGTTTTACACATGTAGGCGTACGACCGTAACACTTTCGGTATCTCGTCACGTTATAGTGACATCACTGGGAAACTCGCGTTCGCGATATACGTTCGAGGATTGACTGACTAACGCAATCTTGTCGACGAGACGCGTCGATGAACGTATCGCAACATACTCGTGATAACACGCCTTCAAATTGATAACGATGATAATGCACGCGGTAGCGAGTGGAACATGACGACATATGTATATGCTTCCGCAAAAATAGATTAAAGAGATCGAGGGAGAGCGAAAGTAAATATAATTACGCAAATGGATTTCATGTCATTCGAGATTGTATTAAGCGACATAGAAAATTAAATTAGAAAAGTCAAGACACCGTACATCCTCTTCCTCTCTCTATTAATTAAAAACCTCCTACACACAACTACTGTACGTGTATTGATCCTTTCCGGTCGCGCGATAACTGCAACGATGCAATTCAATGTCGATTTGCACTGGCTTTTTTGGAATTTTTAAAATTTTGCTCATTATTTACTTTAGTATCAATTAAAGAAAAATTTATTATTAAATTTTTTCTCTTTTAGATTGTGATAAATATTATATTCTTTCGTAAGAAAGAAAATAGAGAGACATTTTAATATTTGTAAACTGATTTTAAATATCCTCCTATCAAGAAAAACAGAAAATAAGTTACAATTTAATCGAAGTAATCTTCATACATCTCTTTTAATTCATGGATTCTTTTTTTCAGATTGGAAATTTATGTCAAGAAGATTAAAGGAACGGACTATCTGTGCTTGATTGGTATCAGTTGCGTGATGAAATCTCCATCCTATAATTGGGAAAATGAGCGGCTCAACACTTGTGCGAATAAATCTTTTGATATACATTGCGATAACAGTGCCCTTGATGTAGACGACCTTTGATGTTACGTGAACCATACATCAAAGAGTCTCAAACAAATCAAGTTCCTGTTTTAGATTCACCGTTTCAAATCTAATGTTTGTCCGTGAGAAAATTATCGAGGTATTTCTATGAAAACAACATTGTAACGAAAAGATGTTCAAGATGCACGATTCTTGACAAAGAGAAAGATTGCTAATTAGAAAATAGGTAAAATAAAATAATAAAATTTCACGATATATCATAAAAGATATCTAGGACAAACGAAAGTATAATGAAAGTAAATCGATGAAATCAAAAATCCTATACGATTATTTTCTTGAGACAATAAATTCTTACGAGTCACGTGCGTAAATTCATATGGTGTGAGAATTTATGACTGTTAAAACCTGATAACATATGATAAACGTCATCGATAATAACATGTGATATATTTTAGTGCGACCAAGAGAGTAAAAATGATTTCACACCGTTCAAGTTCATCTCGCATCATCGACCAAGAGGCGAATATACTTACGTTAGCGAAGAAGTGAGGAAAAAGGACAATAGATCGAACAATAGTTCCATTGACAGAGTCGATTCACGCGAAACGCGTAAAGTGCGTTTTATTAGAACTAACGAGTTTGTGCCTCGCGTTATTCTACAGCTTACATAATCACGTCACAGGCGGATCAATCGTGTGTCAACGATGACCTTGACGGTCTCTTATCCGTGGATCGCGGACTCGAATGCATCAAGGAAGCGGGTGATGATGCCGAAGAGGAGTTAACGCCGTTCGCGATTACGCGAATATTCGCTCGATTATAACTTTGACAACATCTCTCGGATACTTCTCGAAGATGTCACGAATTGCCTGTAGGCAAAAGCAGGAATATAGTACGAGAAGTTGATTCGAAGATAAAGAGAGAAAGAGAATCACGTGGAAGAAGCATCAGTTGAAAGATGACGGTCAGCTACACCGCTGAAGTAGCCACTTGCAGAGGCCTCGGTTGCTTCCCCAAGTTGCTGCTTAGGTGAGATAAAATTTTTGATTATCTTTCGTAAGGTCATTTAAAATGTAAAGATAATTGTCAATATAAACTTGATAATGTTATCAAGAATGAGAATTTTGAGATTGCTTTTCTACGAATTTTTGTTATTCAAATTATTGAAAATTATTATTTACTATCATACATATCTGACAATGAGATATTAATTTCTTTTCATGTTATATTTATAATATTTTTATTTTATTTCTTTGCGATGTTTATATTTTAGTTCTCTGCATTTCTACTTTTATTTCTTGATGCGATATTATTAGAGATATTAATAAAAATCCGGGGCAAATTGGAAAATAGCATATCTTTTAATCATTGTGTGTAAAATTTTTATTTAAACAAATAGATGTATAAAGATGTAAAAATTTCATTTTTTATTTTAAATAATTTATAGAAATTAAATCTTGGTAACATACACGTGCATATGATTATTTAGATTTAGAATATTATTATTTTTTTATTTTAAACATCTTTCATAATTTTTGATTGATTTTATTATTAAAAATATATATTTTTAACAAAAAAACTTGTCCATATATTTAAATAAAAATTTTACATAATATTAAAAACTATTCTAAAGCATTCTAAAAATATTCTATTAATATTGAACCTGTTAACTATAATGCGTATAATTGCTTACAATATTTCTCATATTTATATTATTTTTCATGTAAATTTTTGCTATCTCTTTATCTTTTTTATTAATGCAATTGCAGAAAAATTTTTTTCAGAAATATAATGAAATACTTTCTGTCTCCGTTTAATCATTCGTCTGCATTTAATCATTTTACATAAAACATTTACATTTTACTGACTTAAATCTGAAAATTTAGAAAAAGTCACAATGACATTCACGAGCAAGCTGTGTCCTTGAGAAAAGACTATTCACTGTAAATTATATTGGAATATTTCCAATCGCAAATAACAGATGACGACACATTTTCAACGTCTGTTTGCATAAAAATACGACACTTCGTCATCCAAAATTGACATACTACTTTAAACATGATTCTATTCGTATAGAAAGAGACTAAAATATAGTCTCTACTCATAACTCGTAAGCAGAATTATTGACTTTCGGCTCGATAATGGTTACGCGATAATACAACGTTATATGTCGGATATATGTATTAATGTGTAATTGTTTTAAATTAAAATATTTTGACTGGTTTGCCAGATGTTAAAGTGCACTATCTTTAGAACTTTTGTGTACTCGCCAAGTCGCGATTTCACAGATATCATCTCGAGTCTCGTATCTCTTTCCCATGACAGATGTTTGGTTCTCATTTACAAATTACACGATTTGTTTCAGATGGCGAGCGAGTATTTACAAACTCGTCTGGCTCGACCTATCACTCTTCCTCTTCATCTACTATTCACTGTCTGGCGTCTACCGATTACTATTAAACGACGAGCAGAAGAAGACGTTCGAATCTGTGGTGGCGTATTGCAATGAGTTCAGCGATCTAATACCGGTTTCGTTTATCCTGGGTTTCTATGTCACTATTGTGATGACCAGATGGTGGAATCAATATTTAGCGATTCCATGGCCTGATTCCATTGCGGTCTTTGTATCAGCCACAATACATGGAAACGACGAGCGCGGTCGCCTAATGCGTCGTACGATCCTTAGGTATAACGTAAAGTAGTTATAACTAACTTGCAGTTAGAGAGCAATCAATGTCAGAGAGAAAGAAAGTCACATGACAATTCTTCTAATCGATAATAGAATATGATCAATTTGATATAATCTTCTTTGCAAAGTATTATACATATAATTTATTTTGAATCCATTTAAATATTTTATATAAGTAATTATACGTTTTATCGTGTTTAGAGAAAATTTGGTTAAAAAGTAAAAGCTAAGACGTGTGTTCTTATTGCAAAATATACATTCAATTTATTTTGAATTTATTAAATATTGTATATAAGTAATATATTTCTATCGCGCGTGTTTAGAGAGAAAAATTCAAAAAAAGTAGAAGCTAAGGTCTATGTGTTCTTATTGTAAAAATAAAAAATGATTCTACACAGATTTGATTAAGAAATAAATTTTATCATTCCAGGTACGTGTGCGTCTGTCTGACAATAGTCCTAACAAATGTCGCGCCGCGAGTAAAGAAGAGATTTCCCACCTTGGAGCATTTCGTGGACAGCGGTCTGCTACTGGATAACGAACTATCGATATTTCAAAGTCTGAACGTGAAATTTCCGAAGCCGAGCAAGCATTGGCTGCCGATAGTTTGGGCTACGAGTATCGTAACCCGCGCTCGGAAGGAAGGTCGAATACGCGATGACTTCGCAGTCAAGACTCTCATCGATGAGCTCAACAAATTTCGAGGATTGTGCGGCACTATTTTACACTACGACACAATCAGTGTCCCGTTAGTCTACACTCAGGTGGATATAAGTAGTTTTTAAAGTTGATAAAAAGTAGCGAAAAGCGTACATAGACACATCATTTAATAAATATGTATGTAAGAGAATCGCGTACTTTATTATAAGTTTGTTTCATATCTCAGAGAGTTTCAAATTTTACCTTTTCAGGTCGTCACACTAGCTGTTTATACCTACTTCCTAACTTGCGTAATGGGTCGTCAATGGATTCAAAAGTCAAACTCGATTATCGATCTGTACTTCCCGGTATTCACGACGTTGCAGTTTTTTTTCTACATGGGCTGGTTAAAAGTAGCCGAGACACTGATTAATCCATTCGGCGAGGACGACGACGATTTCGAAGTAAATTGGTTAATCGACCGCAATTTGCAAGTAAGAGTTGCTTTTTCATCCTACCTCTTTCTCTCTCTCTCTCTCTCTCTTTTATCTCTCCTTTTCAACATTTATCTAAATTTACGAATTAACAAATTTAACAATTTTATTTTTTCGTTTACTTATTACAATTAAATATGCGGACTCGGAGAAAGAAAATTATTTTTATAACGAAATATTGAACTACAAATTTAATGACATTCGTTCTCTTTTAAGGTAAGCTATTTGATCGTCGACGAGATGCATCACGACCATCCGGAACTCATACGCGATCAGTACTGGGACGAAATATTCCCCATGGAACTCCCGTATACTGCTGCGGCGCAAGTTGAGGCACATCCTGAGCATTCGACAGCCGGCATACAATTGTCGCCCGCGCAACAAGAATTGCAACCGTCATCGGTTAAAATCGAGGATCTAGCACCAGACGAGCAGAAATTCACCTCTGAGATTGCCGATGACGCGGCATCGGGGATACACTTTATCGCGAGCGGAAAAATTTCCCGGTAAACGCAAATTGTCCAATTTTGTCAATAACATTTTATTAAAATTTGAAAGAAAATATTGTTTACTGACGCGTCATTATTTTTAATGCGAAATTAGAAATGGTACTACAGAGAGTACTGAGAGATTAGTAAGGTAACTTTTATCTCTATAACATTTCACAATAGATTAGTCTAATATAGCGATATGCAATATATATATATATATATATATTAATAAAATTAAATTTTTAGAAATTATAGCGATTATAAATGTAAAAATAGATATGATAGCAATCGAGTATTTATTCTAAGTTTCCATTCTGATTTTTTTAGAAGTGCCAGTAGAGTGAGTAATCGAGAGCGCAACCTCAGTACCGGTTCAACTCCTAGCAACTTGGGTGGCTCGCTCCAAAGAATAAACAGCGTTACCAGCGTACTTAAGAGATTTTTTAGCAAAGAAGACAGACCGGACGGAAATGTGTCGAGTGGCACTAAAACTCCGGCGAAGATTACGAACTCAAGTTCGGCAGCTTCATTGCAAATACGACCACCCGGTATGTTTGTTATTGAATTTAAGTTAAAACAATGATAATTCGCGGGAAATTGTGAAATCAAGATAGAATACAAATGTAAATGATCGCAGGTCCGAGTGGTTCCATGAGGATAGGTGTTATCGAAGAGGTGGACGAGCAAATGACGCTTACATCGTTACGGCAATCAAATGATAACAATAGACCCCATGTACAAAGTATATTCGCACAAGGCCCGCCGCCGCCTAGTGATCCCGTTGACGTTCCTGGAGCCAAGACGTTTAGTAAGCGCGAAGTATTCTCCAGGAGCGCACCTGCACGAGGAGGAGTCTTAACAATAGCTGGTAGTAGCGTGGAATCTGGAGCCATCCGCGAAAGGACGAACACTTTAAGGTAATTAATAATTTAACAATACACTCAAAAAATTATTAAATTAATAAATATTTATTTCAATATACTGCCTAATAAATCATTTATTTGAAATAAATAAATTTTATTTGTTTTGAAAAGAATTTTCTTACATCAAATCAATATTATTATATAGTTTCAAATAAATGATTTATTTGGCAGTATTGAAATAAATATTTATTCGAATTCAATAAATTTTTTTAGTGTAGATCTTTGAAATACAGAGAGACATTCGGTGATTTTTCAATAATTTGTAAATATACGTAAACCAATGAAAATTTATTCGAAATAAATTGTATATACTCAAAATGTTTTCTTATAGAATTCAATTTGCATAGAAACTTGGATATCATTGAGAATAAATTTTGTTCAAACTGCATTTTAATTATGTATAAAATTTCGAAGGATTTTATCTTTATTAAAAAATTTCAGGACACAAGAGTCCACACAATCGGCGCGATCGAGCATCACCTACGAGCCGGCGAGTTATGCCGGTAGTGGAATAAACGATGATCTACCCAGCACCGCAAGCTCGTCATGTTCCAGCGACAATTCCGTGAACGAATTTACGAAACTGAAAACCGAAAGGAAGAAAGAGAGACGTAATCGCAAGCTCGCTCGAAGTCTCAGCGGACATGCTAGTACATTTAATCAATCGAAAAGCCTTCCCGATTCGGAGGCTTTTTTGCTGGCGGAATTAGCGGACGCGTCACGACGCAGTATGAAGGACAACGACCGCGACGAACAGTTTTAGAAAGATATCTCGCTATTTTTACATCGAAGTTTTTCACGACTGGCCTAAGTAAGCCTAAATATCCTAACAAGAAATCGGATAGAGTAACGCAACTATGTATTACCGCACATAAGTGCTAGATTTTTTACGTGTTTTCTATGTACTTACAATTATTGAAACAATATCTCGTGAAAAACAATTCATAATTGTGTTGTCATCATTCAAAACAAAGCGCTGGTGATAAAAATTATATATAAATCAGTTGCAATTTTTATGAAATCAGCTTTAACCTTAGGAAAGTTTAGAAATTGATAAAAATGTTGATAAATGGAGATAAATATTTATATTTATACATATTCATATATAAATATTTATATATGTATTTATGTAAATATATATATATAACTTATATAATATATATATATGTATACTACAATATATATTATTCTATATATATATATATATATATTACATATATACATATATATTTTATATATGTATATGCGTGTATATATAACGCAGTAGCACTATTGTGTGATAGCTTCTCGCACAAGCAACAGAAGTAAAAAGCAACAGCAAAAAATATTTCATAGTTTTTAAATGAGAAATGAAAAATCTCGTATCTTTTAATATAAAACATGTATATAGTAAAAACATTTAATTTTAACTATATAATTACGTAAGGTGTACATTGGATACACACGTAAAGAACAAAACGTACAAAATTTTCTCGAATAAATGAGAAAATGTAAAAAAACTGTAAAAGTCCTATCAATGAAAATGTATCAATTCTTAATCAATATATTTGATTAAAGAAATTGCAAAACTGGAACGCATCGCCTTTGAAAATTAATAATAAAGAGGAGTATTTAATTTTAATTCTAAATTTACGTAAAAAAGTTAAATACAGATTTGTCTAATTAAGATCTGTCTAACTTATAAACTTTATATTTAAATTTTGTATTCAATTTTTTATTTTGTGTGATTTAATTTTGAAGCGTTTCATCTCCCAGTATTACACATAGATATAATCTTCTGGATGTATACACAAACAACCTGTTGACTATTGTCATTGTTGATTCAACATTCCACGATATACACGATTTGTTACGATGCTCGTAAATAAGCCATTTGTTTTCAGTATTATTAAAATAAAGTATTTTCGATAAGATAAACATTGTTTCTCCTTTATTAGAATATAAGCATAAAATCTTTTACGTTTTGTGGTCATATCACGAACTGGGTGAATATTATTCTTATTATTAGTTCTTGAACTGATGAAAGGGGAAATTATAATTCTTAACAACATGAATCGAAATTAATTTTTGGAAATACTGAAGGAGAGCTTTGTGATTTTGCTGGAACTTTAGAATATTATGTATTTTTGTGTATAAAACACGAATCATAAATTAATAATTGTCGCTTTTAACTAGAAAAAAATTACAGTGGCCTTCGCCCCTTTCTCCATAGGGGGCGAATTTTAATTTTTGATTCAGTAAGATCGGGAAGGATATTCACAAAGTTATTACCAAAAATTTCAGTAAAAATTGATGAGACTCACCGATACGATGCGCAGCAGCGGAGTTGTAATCTGTAAAATATAAATACATGGAAATTAAACAGTGAAATTTAAAATAATTGATATTAAATAAAGCCTAAATAAAAAAATAAATAAATAATAGTATAATAATAAAATAAATAATAAAAAATATTTACCTTATAGTTGCTCCGCCGTTGCTCGATGCTATCCTTCTTCTCTCTTCTCTTCTTCCCTTTTCCTCTCTTCTTGTTCTCCTGTGTAAACATAAAACAAATATTATATATATATAATACAATCTATTAAAAAATATGCACAAAAATGTACTTTGCAATTTCGAGTATATTTATTTTAAAGTAAAATAAAAAAAAATTAATAATAATAACAAAATAAATGATTTACCATATAGTTATGTCCGATGCCACCCTGGACCTCCTCCTCGTAGAAGACGCACTTGCACTCGCGTTATTTTTTTTCGTTCGCGAAACGCGGCGACGCCCGGATTTTAATTAATTATCACATTTTCGACGCGTTTTGGGAGAGCTTATTTGCATTCGAATAAAATCGATGCTCCGTTTTCGCGTAGCCGTTGTTTTTCAAGACCACTTATCGAACGACGATGACGACTTCCTTCGCGACGCACTCAGGAGTCGCCGATATTCTCGAATTGACCACTACACCATTCGCTTCACTATTCTACATTTCACTGAATATTGAGAAATAATAATGGCAATATGGCGGTGCGACCGTGTCGTAGTTGTGTGTGTGCGTGACCGGCGGTTTTTGTAAAAATTACGAGTTAATTCGTCGCGTACCGATATTTCGACACGATGATTAGAAAATAAGGCCGGAAACGCGCGATCTCCCGCTTAGATTATGAGCGACGACGTCGAAAAACTCGGAAAACTCACGTCGCAAGCTCCCGGTAATTCTCGCGATCCGACTTCCGAAACTTTCGGCGGTTCTTGAGTTGTTGCAGAATTGAATCGACCAATTAGAGACCGAGGATTTCTTCGTCCTGATTGGTCGACCAAGACTTGATCGACTAATCGCAGACCGCGAATCTCGTGGTCCTGATTGGTCGACCGAAATTTGTCCACCAATCGGAGACCGAGGATCTCCGTCCTGATTGGTCGAGCAGCGCTTCGCTCTAATCGAATGCATTTCCGAACACAATCTAGATTGCTGCTGCCCTCTGGGTCACTTTCGTATTGTTGGTCACAATCAACGGTCGCGTTTGTCGTCGGTCCGCGAAAATACGAGAGTGTAAGTATTAATTCGTATCTTCACGCCGTTAATTATTGTATAAATCCGATCGCGTCGCGTGTCCCGACATCGTGATCGCGATCGTACGAGCGAGATTGATCTCGTCGGCCGCGAATCGCGTTCTCTCGCCTTCTCTCACATTCTTTCGAAAAGTCGCGTGACGTCACGGCTCTCACCCGGCTCGAGCCCCCTAAAGTTGGCCGATTTCGCGCGAGTCTACTAGACGTAGCGAATTACCGGGTGCGCTTTCCACGCGAAAATCGCCGGGTTTTTCGGTGTTGTCGCTCGTGATGTGAACGAGAGATTGCGCGTTTCCGGTCTTACTTCCGCATCATCGTGTCGAAATATCGGTACGCGACGAATGAACTCGTAATTCTCGCAAAATTCGCTGCTTGGCTGCAAGTATAGTCGCGCCGCCATGTTGCTATTATATCTTGTTTATTATCATCCATTGCTCGTCTCTACCAATGTCTCGCAAAAAGTCAGAGTCTAGTCGGAAATATTAGTTAAGAACGAAAAGTACGTATTAGATTCACCGTGTATTATCGACGATCGCGAGTGTATACAGTGCTCGGGAAATGCTCTTTGTTTTGTCTAGCCGGCCGGATTCTCGGAATCGCGTCGAGCGCAAGCGTCCGGGCGTTCTCGGAATTGCCGATTCGAGATCTTTATCTATCCAAAGTTTCGACGATCTTCGACGTTGAAATACGATACGCGCTCGACGCGGAATAATCAGTGAAATAATCTGCGCGATTTCTTCGTCGTCAAATACTCTCTGTGGAATATAAAATAGTGAAGTGTGAAGTGTAGTTCCATTCTGGAATATCGGCGACTCCCGAGTGCGTCGATGAGGCCCTCCGATAAGTGGTCTTGAAAAAAGCGGCGACGCGAGAACGGAGCATCGGTTTAATTCGCGCGCGAATATGCTCTCGCGATTCTCGCGTTTTACCGAAACGCGTTGAAAATGTGATAATTAAAACCCGAGCGTCGCCGCACGTCGCGAACGAAGAAAGTATAACGCGAGTGCAAGTGCGTCTTCTATACGAGGATGAGACCCGGAGTGGCATCGGGCAACGACGGAGCAACCAACTATATGGTAAATAATTTCTATTATTTATTTTATGGATACTTAATTATTTATTATTCTTTCTTCAATCTGAATTAAAAATACTCAAAACTTTTGTCTGCATTATTTTGTAACCTAGATAATATATATTTACTTGTCTTATTTTTACATAGAGGAACAAGAAGGAACGTAAAAAAGAGAGAGGAAGAAAGGAGGCCCGGTAGCATCGGGTATCGGCGGAGCAACTACACGGTAAATAATCGATTATTAATGTGATCACCCCATTATTTGCGCGTCTGATGTGAGAACACCTTTACTCCTGGCGTGCCGCGCTCGGCCGCCTTCGGGCGCGCTCGGCCGTCTCCGGCGTCGAGGAGTGGGGAGGCAGCGCCGCGGCGCGGCGGCCGGCCCCGCTGCGTAGCAGTGCCAGTTCGTCGGCGAGAGGTGGCGGTACGGGTCGTCGAACGCGGAGAGTGGGAAATAGAAGGGGCTCGCGCTCGCCGAGTCGAGCCGAGCCGAGCCGAGGCCGAGAGTGGTAGTGCGCTGGCGGAGCGTAGGTAACCAGCCAGCGCGTGGTGCAGCGCGACATTGGCTCTTAGCGGTGGCGCGGCTCGTGCGTGCCATAACGGCCGGACACGACACGATCTTACGACAGTAGAGTACACAGTAGTAGTGCGCGCGTTCGTTTACAAGATGGCAGACGACGGTCCGTCCGCGGCGGAGGACGCGACCGCGACAGCGGCGAGCGAACTGGGGGACGGTGATTCTCGCGTGACGAGGGAGCGGCACAAACGCGCGGACGCCACCACGCCGATCGTCACGGCTGCTCCGGGTCAGGAGGCGTCGAGCGACGACCGTCCGCCTCGTACCCATCATCGTCAGCATCAGCATCACTCACCGCGTCATTCTACTTTCCACCGAGCACCACCGCCGTCTCATCATTATCATCGTAACCACTTTAATCATCATCGCGACAGCGACAGCGATCGCATTAGTAACAATCACAACAGTGGTGGTGGTGGTGGTGGTGGTGGTGGTGGTGGTGATTCGTCGTCGTGCGTCGACGCGACTGGGACAGCCGCGAGCGACGACGAGGAGGAGAGCGGCAGCGGTGGTGGCGTCGGCGTCGACGGCAGTGGTAGCGGCGGCGGCGGCGACGACGGCAGGGTCGATCCGTACCACCATCATCGAGACGACGATGTCGAGATCGAGGAGATAGTTCGTAGTGTCGTGTCCGAGGACGACGTCGACGACGACGAGGACGACGATTTTTACGGAGGCAGCGGCGGCGTCGATAGTGACTGCGACGGTGATAGTGGTGGCAGTAGCAGTAGTATTAGTAGTAGGAAAAGTGGTGCTGGTGGTGTCGCGGGAATCATGACCGGTGGCAATAATAATAATAATAATAGTAATAATAGTAATAATAATAATAATAACGCGACGACGCGCGTCGGTGTCGAGGACGCCGACTCGAACGCGGACGGTGGTGCGCCGGAAGTGAACGACCGCGAGGATCGCGACGACGGGAGGAGGAGAGGAGCGAGCGTCGCCGTCGTCTCGACGACGACGACGAGGGAGACGAAACCGATGGCGGACAAGGAAGAGACGAGAGCGATCGCCGAGGACGCCGCCGCGGCTGCGAACAAGGACAACAATCAAGTCGCCACCAGGCATCAGGGAAGCCCGTTCAAGGGACAGGTTAGGATGGCCGAGGACACCCTCGTAGGACCCTGCGGCAAGAAGCGGTGCGCGGATCGATACGACAGCTCCGAGAGCTCTGACAGGTGAGCGAGCGAGACACACCGTGGAAAGAAGAGAGGCGGGAGAAACAGAGAGAGAGAGAGATTTCGCGAGTCGAAAATATATCGATAGAATTAACTTCGACGAGTGTCGCGTCTGGACGACTTCTCCGCTTGAACAATTCGAGAGTATATATGTACTTGGTGAAATTTAATATCGCTACAACAACAAATAATGACGCGCTCGAATCACTTTGTTTCTCGTATCGCGTATCGCGAGTCTTCTCGCGTTACTCTCTCGCTATTAAGTGCATCGTCGTCATCGTCGAGACTCGCTTTCAAGAATTCGAGATCGAGCTCGTTCCATTCGATTTCCGATCGCGAAGCGAGGAGACGAGAGCGATTCGTAATTAACGCTCGGTGACGAGAGTAGAGAGTACATATAGAGAGAGAGAGAGAGAGAGAGAGAAAGAGAATTCACGCGGGGGTCGTTGTACCGCGGTTACGCGAGCGACGACCGTGTCTGCTGCTGGCCATCCATCCATTCGTCCGTCCGCATTCGATCTCTCTCTCCTTCTCCATCTCTCTCTTTCGACCTCTCTGTGCGCGCCGCGCCGTCGTGTGTTTATAGGTTCGTAGATGCCTGCTATCTGCCATCTCTCTCCCTCTGTCCGTCTCTCTGTTCCTCTTCGCCGTCTCCTCTCCTTGGACCCTTCCATCGGCCGAACGACTGATTATTTTGGTGCATCGCGCGCTTATATCGAGCGCGTCGCCCACTGTTTTCAGCCGCCCGCTGATTAACGCGTCGCTAACTATAAACAGTAACGTGCTTTTGCAATACAATACGAACGCGCGCGCTAAGGTCCCTCTTCTCTTCCCGATATTAATATGAATCGCGCGAATCGCGCTATTTATAAACAAAGCGGACTTTTGTAACGCGCGCGTCGCACGATCATCCTCGGATTTCTCACGTTTGTTGTTGCTGTGTAATTATGAGGCGCGACTCGAAACTATACTATTATCCATTATGTACGGGGTAATATTGTCGACACGGGTGTGCTTTATCCGAAACGCAAATATGCCAGGAATTTCCAACGCTGGTATTTCCTACAGCGAGGGTAATCAATGACGAGGTACACAGAACGCTTTTTCTTACATCAGACGTTTCCTTTCTCCCTTTTCGATAGTCATCGAATGATTGGCTTTTTTTTTTTTTTTTAGTCCGACAATGAGATGCTCGTGTCCGTTTATTGTCGATTATATTAGCCCGTCGAGTCTTTGTAATCATGTGCGAAATTATTCGTATACAAATACGACTGCACTTTTATTTCACCCATTGTTCATTTTCGATGCACGAATTATATGATTTCTACAATGAGTTTAAATAAGGAGCGGACCATTTTCTCAAAATTATATTTTTCAATGAAGGTTTTTAATGTCCCGGCAATCAATTATAATTATGTTTTTATTTTTTTTATATTAGGTATTATAACATTATATATATATGTATAATATAATTAAATATCTATTAGATATAATTACATGATTGAAGTTATATTATATACTTCCAAAGAGTCGATTCATGTTTTTTTTCGCGTTCAGAAAATTTCGCCTGATTTTATCGGTTTTTAGCGATCGGCTCTTTTCCTTTTCTCTCGAGATTTTTACCGATTAACGATATATTATTGTTAGTTTCGCGGGTTCCTAAAAGCAATGTCGATTCTATGCTGTACGTGAGCGCGAGGGAAAACGGGTCGCAATAAAAGTTTAGTGTCCTAACGGTACTTCGCCGTGGTACACTAAACTCTCGACCGTCGTGTGTCTACATAGAAAGTCTCCATTCCGCCCTTTCCCCTTTTCTCCCCTTTCCTCCCCTTTTCTCGGATAACCGCATTATTGTGCGCGTCCGCGGACGTCTCGGTGACGTTTTCCGGTGCGACAAATTTTCGCCTAATTCTCACGTTCGCGACATGACACGAAGAGCGACGTGATTTTTGCGATCCCGCGTAATTCTGCGTTACACGTGTCCTTTATTACGATGTCTTGTTATGATCGCACGACATAGATTATTGTAAACAATTCGCGAACTTTGTTTGATATTTCGACGCTGATCTTTCATCTTTTATTCATTATCCGTTATCTGTCACGTCAACTCTTTTCTGTGATGTGGAATATATTAGAATAAGAAAGAAATTAGAACGCTTAAAAAAATTCTTTAGAGAGAGAAATGTCTCTCGACCGAGAAATTCGGCGAGTTGAAAGATTATTCATTCTTATCAATCTAATTATTAAAGATTTAAAATTTTAATTATTTAATTAGCTGGCGTATCAGCTTTACGTATTTATAATTTATAATGAATGCGATATATTACGAGAGGAAAAGATTGAGAGCGAAAGATTAAGTCACTCTTCTTTTGTGAGTTATCTCAGCGAGTTATCTTCGCCGCGCGCGTTTTCATCTTATTTTTTTATGTATACAAATTTACGGACTGATAACCGAACTCATTGAGATAAACAGTCGACATAGTATTTGCATTTAAAATAGCGGTCGAGTCGAGCTTGCCCGTGTTTTGCATTCCTATGGCGTGCAGACACGTTTACTCACATCTTTTCCTTTACAATAAACAGATTTCTCTGTTTTCTCTTCCCTACTTCTCTCTTTTATTTCTATCTCTTCCTTTTTCGCCTATTTTCGATTGTATACAATGTCCTAAAAAACAATACTTTTTATCTCAAAACTTTAGACGTAAAAATCGACGTTTTTAAATCCCAACAATATTTACTGCTTCCCGTTGCTTCACGATCGAACATATATATATATTTATATTCGTCGATTTCATTTCGCATGCAGGAAACGTGTAACAAAGTGCAGTTAAAAGAAGCACAGGCTGTCGCAATGTGCTTTGACCCGAGAGAGAGGGGAGTAATTTGCATAATAAATTCGTCGCTGAATCTATATCCGCAAAGTTCGAAAGGGTCACAGCAGACTTCCACCATCCGTCCGTTCGTTCGTTTACTCGGCGATGTTTGGTCGGCGACGGAGCCAGCCAGAGCTAGCGTTCGCGTTCTCTCGTTTTCGAGCGGGTATTATTTTTAGAAGAGTCCACGTCCGCGCGTTCTCTCGTGCGGTCGGTCGGTTCCTCTCTGCCGGGTTTACGCACCGTCGATTACGCCGTCGTTCTCGGCTTCACGTGTGCCCTCGTCCGACGAGAGACAAGATACCGATTGCAGCCTGTCCCTATATATATACAGGCTGTTTCAGCGGGAATTCTTCACCAACTCGCGAGATATGAATACTTTTTCATTGGAATATTCCTTTATCTAGCAATTAATCATGTTTACGATATACATTTTTTCTCACGAGACTAAACAAAGAGCGGTCAGATAAGTATAAAGTAAACTAAAGTCTGCGAAATCGTTCTAAGGGAGCGAGTGCGTTTAAAAGCTATTAAAATATATCAAAATAGTGTTTATTTTTTTTTTTTTTTTAAGTTGATAAGTTATTCTTGGATATTTATCACATATATTTTTGATCTTTAAATATATCTTCTTTCTCGAAAATCATTGATTATACTATTATCCAATCTGTTTTCAAGTCAGAAAATAAAATTATAATTTGGTAGAAAAAAATATTTTTGCCCAAAGTTATTAACAATTAAACGTTTTGTCAGACGAACTGATTTTATTCGAATCATAATTAATGTTTAGATCTTTATATATCTTTTTCTCGAAAATCACTGATTAATTATTATTATAATTTTATCGTTTTTCAAGTCGGAAATAAATAATAAGTTGTGATTTGATTGAAAAAGTTATAAGTTAATAATAAGTTATCATTTTGATTTAAAGAAATTGTTATTTTTAGTCAGAGTTTATCAACGATTAAAGTTGTCAAGCAAGCTCGACTTTAATCGAATCATAATTAACGTTCAGAAAAAGTTTGCTCAGCAGAAAACGCGTCGATCAAAATGTAAACAAACACATGAAAAAAATTAAAAAAAAAAAAGATTACAGATTATACGTTTAACTCAGTTGAAGAAAAGGAATAAAAGGATAAAAGAGGTAGTTTGGCCGTATATGATTTCGCAATTGCACCCGCTCCCTTAAGGAAAGAGCTTATATATATACGACTATGAAACATCTGTCAGAATTCTTTATTTCCAGAATTTTGTAAAGTAGCACAGTAACATGTGAATATATCGTTCTATATTCTATTTTCGTCGGACGACGAATCAGTAATTAATGAAAACTATAATATGTTAATCACCGTACAACATCGAACGGGGTCAAATCGATTTTTCCCTTACACATTTTCGATTAAATTCCTGTTTTTTTTTTCTCGCGCTATTTATATATTTAAAACTCGTGCGGATTCACTTTGCAATCTTTGCATAAGCTGACCTCTCGTCCCGCGAATCCGCGTTGGAGCTTATAAACACATCGACGATAATAAGTAATAAGCGTCGTTAATTACTATGTACCGCAAACGTAGAAACGAAGATTGAAAAGCGACGACGATGGCGTCGTCGACGACGACGCGACGTGCGCACAGCCATAATTTGCCATAATAATAATAATTATTTTACTGCCGTCTGCTTAAGCCAGCACGTGCCGCGAGCTTTCGACGGCAACCTGTATAAACCTGCGTTTTATGTTCCGAGTTTTAGCCCCGCTCGCTCTCGCTAATTTATACCTTTGCTTCGCGCACGCGTGTCGCTTTTACGGTCCGCTTCGCGATGCGATTTGGCCTCCCCTTTTTTCGCAACTCCCGTTGTGCGAAGCGAACGCATCGACGTTGCATGAAACCTTACTTTCGTAATCCCCCATCGTTACTCATCGTCATATTGGATAATTGATACGGAGTATCAACCTGTCCGGCAAATTTCTAATAATTCACGTAATTGATCATTGAAACGAAACAATTTAATGCGCCTCGAGCTATTTTTTGCAACTCTTTCCCATTTTTACACTTTCTCTCTCTTTGCATACATATGTACAACAACGAAATAATATTTCAACGTGATTTTTCGCATGTTGTAAAATTTCGAAATATAATATGCTACATGTTTTTCACGTGTTTGTTGTTTCTTAAAAATTCTCGCGTGAAATAACGTAAATTTTTGTTTGCA